GGCCCCACCAGACCTAGGACTCAGTGGGGCACGCTTGCTGGACATAGCCATGCTTCAGCTCCAGCCAGTCCATGGGCACACAGAGAGGTGGGGGAAGCAGGCTGCACTGCCCGCGGCCCAGAACAGCCCGACCGCACCGCCACGCTCCCAGCACTCACTTGGAATCAACCTGGGAGCCCGGGGACAGCCCCGAGTCTGTGCTGGAGGCCAGATCACCCGACTTCTTTTTCTGGACCCCTGGCTTCTTGGAGCTGGGCTCCCCGTCCACGGTTTCTGCCAAGGGCTGTGACGGGACAGCTGGGTCAGTGGAGGAAGAGTGGCCCCCAGCCCCTGTGCCCCCACCCTTGGTTCCCTCCCTCCATGCAGGGTTACAGAGGAGAGCCCCGGGTGCGCGCCGTGCTGGACACTGTACCTGGGTCCTGGCCAGACACGTGAGTCTGGAGATGTCGCTTGTGGATAAGGAAATCTGCCTCTCCCTGGAAGACACCGGAATGGGCGTGAGTGTGCAGGTGTGAGCCTCGGGGTGCCGAGTCTGACCTGGAGCGACTCTGCTCCCCGGGGACACTGGCAACATCCGGACGTGTCGGATGCTGCTGGCATGGATGGTTAAGAGGCCAGGATTGCAGCCCAACACCCTACACCCCCAGGGTGGTCTGCACTACAGAAAATGTTCTAGAATTAAAGGTCCACAATGATGGGGGTGGGGGGATGGGACACCCTGGGTTCGATCCCTGCCTCACACCCAATGATTGAGTACTGTTCCTAAAGCGTTAGACTGTATACGTCAGTTGAAGTCACCTTACACACGGCGTGGTAGCCATGAGCCTCTGTGACTTGCTCCCTCTCCTTCCCACTCAGTGTGGATTTAGTGGGAAGCACCTTAGGGCTTCAGTAGGTCAGGTAATCATGGTACGGAGTTGTGTGTGTGTATGGGAGGGGTCAGTGGAATTGTCTAACCCGGGAGTGCTTACTGAGGGCAGCTCTGGCCTGTGGGGAGCCCTGGTCATGACTGAAAGCATTAAGTGGCGGAGGTGGCGAGGCTACAGTACACAGAAGGATCTGGAACCCAACAGAACCGCTGTTCTCCCGGACGGCCCGGTCATCCTCTGACTGTTCTTTGCTCAGGCAGGCACTCTGGGACAGGGGCCCCCTCGTACTGTTTTGGGGCAGTCACGGTGTGCCAAGCTCTGTGTTCCCCGAACTTCAGGCGAATCAGCCCCTTTCCTTGGGCTGGGGAGTCCTAGGGGTGCAGAGGGTGAATGTGCGTGGCTGACTGGAAGGTGTCAGTTTCAATCCCACTCATCGGTGGCCTGGAAGAAAGGCCTGGGGGCCTCGCCATGACACATCAGCCCTTAGAAGCCCTCTGTCGCCCTGTTCTTCCCGGACACACACGGTGTGTGTTGGCCCTTGAGTCGATGAGGCAGCAACTGAGGACCACACAGAGGGTGGTGGGTCTGGGCCCCCTCACTCTGGGGGCTGCTTCCCACTAGACCAGGGGGATTCTCATGTGTGAGTATGGTCTGCCGTTTCCACAGGTGCCCCGAGTCCTGGCTGGGGCCTCCACCTGCTCTGAGCCTCTTGCCTGCCCCTCACCCTGCTTTCTTGGGGCACCCACATCTGGTGGAGCCTGAGGATGGAGCTGCTTGAGGGTTTCGGGGCTGGGCCTGGGTACAGTCCCCTGGTGCCCCTTAACCCCTGTACACCAAGGGGCCCCGGGGCTCAGACATGGGCGGGCGCTGGGCTTACTCGGTGGGCGTGGATGCAGGCCGGTGCCGCTCGCTGAGGTCTAGGGACTGGCTGAGCACAGGGCAGGGCGTGGTGGCCAGGAGCTTCTTGCCACGCCACTGTCCCACCGCGTTGGCCAGCCGCTCCGTGTCTGCGTCGCGGTGCCGCTGGATCTGGGCTGAGCCGCTGCAGCTGTCGCCTGACCTGCTCCTGTCCCTGGGGGTCTCTGGAGCCCCAGCTCTGCTGTCCAACGCCAGGCTGGTGGGCCGCTCCACAGGGCTAGCGCTTGTGCTCGCCTCCCGGGTGTACTGGGGGGTCTCCCCGGCTACCGTGTCCTGTGACTGCTCTGGGGCTGGTGTCGGGGGAGACCCGCCCTTGGCCTCCAGTTCTGTCTCCAAGGAAGTGTGCTCTTCCCTGCTTTCCTTATGCTCTTCTGGAAGGTTCTCCCCGGGCTCTGGCCCTGCCTTTCGGGAAGCTCCCCGGAGGGCCGCCCCCTCCTCCTCCTTATGGGTCTGGACGTGCTTGTTCTGGAACTGCACGTGCTCCAGGCCCCTCTGCCGCCGGGACTCCCGCTTCTCGCGGCTGCTGGGGGCTCGCTCCTGACTGTCACTCGGAAGTCTCTGGGCCGGCGGGGGCTTCTCTGGGCCGGGGGCCTCCGTCTCTTCGGGAGAGCCTGCTACCGGCGGCCCGTCACTGGGCTGTGACTCGGGCTCGGCCAGGGGCTTGGGATCCTCCGGGGGCGTCAGCTCTGGCTCCTGCTCCCCGCTGGCCTCCGCAGGGGGCTCCTGTGCTGCCCGCTGTGCCTCCCTCTCCTCGTCCGCCTTCCGCTTCTCTGAGACCATCTGGCTGAAGCTGCGGGAGGAACGAGAAGACCCTGCCTCAGCCACAGGTGCCCACCCGCCTTCAGAGCAAGGTTGGAGGGGAGCTGGGAGTAAGCTCGACTGGGGCAGGGGCACAGAGCAGGTCTGTCACCTGGGAAGGGCCCCTCAGGAACTCTGCTCTGGAGGGGGTCCTGTGAGACCTCTAGGGTTCTTTCTGGGACTGTTTGGGGCCCCGGCCCTGGCTGTGAGCTCTGGCGCGCGCTGGCTCGAGGCGGGGCCCTGCGGCTGCATGTTGGTAGGAGTCACAGGATAGTCCGGAGGGGTGCAGGTCAGGGGACAGGGCTGGTCTTGGAGCCTGTGGATGTGGTAGACCCCACTGTCCACCTGGTGAATGCCCAGGGCTGTGCGGGTGTGAGGACGGGTGTTTCGCTGACTGGCCCAGGGTGGGTCAGCTGCAGGGGGCCCCCTGACCATGTCCAACATGAGGCTTCCTCCACAGATGTCTGGTCCTTGCCACCTGATGTCCCCTGGCCCGCCAGCCCTCCACAGCCTCCAGAATGGCCTCTGGAGTGTTTCAGGCTGCTCGTTGGTTCCAGCGCCTGGAACATTCTGGAATGTTCTGCTCACCGCTTGCGCTGCAGGTGGCCCCGGCAGAGGCTCTGTAGGTGGATGATGGCTCGTCTCTGCTGCTGGTAGGCTGTGCGCTGCCGGCAGCCCCGCCACGCAGCCTGGAGGAACACGGCGGCCCGTGTCCTCTCCAACGCTTGCCGGACTCGGTAGGAGCGCCAGTAGGCCTGGGGGGCCCGGAGGACATGGTCAGGGCCGGGGTTGGTGGCCCTGTTGTTCCTCCACAGACCTCTGGGTGTCCATGGTACCTGGATGGTGACAGCGGCTCGCTTCATCTGCAGGAAGTGCCGGCGTTCCAGAGCCATCCGGAACCAGCTCTGCAGCAGCAGGATCTTGCGCACGACCTCCCTGTGCAGCGTCTCCTGCAGGGCCTGCCGCTCCAGCTCCTTCAGGAAGACCTGGCCACAGCGGGTGGTGGGCAGAGATGGTCAGCAGGGGCTCCCACCCTAAACTCCTCTGTGCACAGCCCATGGGGGAAGGTGAGGGGCCGGGGCCTGTGTTTTAAATGCGTAGAGGTGAATCTTACCAAACATTCACCGTCTGAAAGAGCCCCATTCAGTGGCATTTAGTCCATTCATGATGTTTGGTGACCGCCACCTCTCTCAAGTTTCCACAGTCTCATCACCCCAAATGAAAACCCTGCACCCGTGAACAGGCACCTCCAGCCCGCACCCTGCTGCTGTTAGCTGTTGTTCAGCCGGCTCCCAAGCCCCAGGCAACCACTAATCCCGGTCTCCCTCTGTTCGCCTATCCCAGAGACCTCATCTAAGCGGGGCCTCCCGGCACGTGACCTTCTGTGACGGGTGCATTTCACACAGCGCGTTTTGAGGGTTTATATAGGTTGTCACCCGAATTGGCACTTCGTTCCTTGTGATGGCTGAATGAGATTCCATGGCAGGGTGGGCCGCATTGGGTCTACCCGCTGCCTGCTGACGGGCACGTGGGTGGCACCTGCCCTGGGTTCTCGTGACCCTCTCTGCACTGTTTGGTTTGGACGCCTGTTTTTTAACTCTTTTGGAGAGATAACCGGGGAGCAGATTGCTGAGTTATATGGAAATTCTAGGCTTAACTTTCCAAATGTTTGTAGGGCTGTGTGAGGTTTGAAAGGCCCAGGTGAGGCCCTAATGGGAAGCTGAGCTCACTGGTTATTAAAAAGATAGGCGGCAGTTTGTTCCTGTTAAGAGCACACACACAGAAGGAAGCTGGCTGATTTGAGATTAATCTCAGGAGTGGACGAGTGCAGGAAACCCGTCAGACAACAGAAACACCCAGCCTGCACACCAAGGCCTGTGATCAATATCCGAAAACCCTGGGGCGGGGCATTTCCATCCGATCTGCAAGGACTGCCATCGCAGTCAGGGGCGATGACCCCGCAGTCGCTGACCACTGCAAGTGCCCTGTGTGCCAGCAGGCTGGCCACTGTCCCGCATACGGGGAGGTGGGGAACCGGACACTCCGAAGCTTGCCTGAGCCCCGTGCCGTCTCCACCTCCCTGCTGGGGAACAGTGCCGGGCCCAGGAAACCCACTTCCACACAGGCCCTCATTGTTCAGGGAGGCCCAGTGGCTTGGGGCTGACCTTGGTTTTCCCGATCTGGTAGTTCTTCTTGTCCACGGCCATCTTCTCCAGCAGCGCGGAGATGACCTCTCGGCAGGGCGGGGCGTTCTTGGGCAGCAGCACCTGGAACTGCTCCGTGAAGTCCTGGGGAATGGGGAGGAGAGTGAGTCCCGGAACGAGTGATCCTGGGGCGGGCCAGGCCTCGCTCCCAAGGCTTCCTGGAGTGTGAGCGGTCTTTGTGAGCACAGCACACAGCCAAGCTTGATTGCAGGCGGGAGTTCTACCAGCTTCTGTCACCTGGTGTCTCCTGGGCAATGCCTATTTAGAGCCGACACAGGTGAGGGGGTCCCAGGAGACAGGCTGCCCGGGAGCTCACGATGTGCGGCTTCCTTGAGGCTGGACCACACGTGGAGCCGCCTTTCTGCTTCCTCACCCAGACCACAGACCGCCCTCGGACACACGGTGCCTGGTTCCCCGGCTCCCCATCCTGACGAAACACTTCCCAGGGGCACGATTTTGCAATATCAGTGAAACTAAGTCCTGCTGGACGTCAGTCAGCTCCGAGGGAGAAAGACGGGGGCTTTCTACTCCAGCAAAGAGCTCCAGTCTCGAAAACCCACAGGGGCAGTTCTGCCCAGTCCTAGAGGGTCACTACGAGTCGGCATCCGCGGGATGGGAACACACGACGTGTTGCCTCAGTTCCCATCCCATAAACACACGGCCCCCTAAACACGCCTCCTCTTGCCCCTGGGACCCACGGACGTGTGTCTATCCTAGAGTTCCTGTAAATGGGTGGGGGGGTGC